GGTCAGAAAGAATCTGAGGGAGCAGCGGTACCTGAAGTTCAGATGTGTTCAAAAGGGTGCAGGAAGTCTCCTTCCATGCACACAAAGGTAGTAGTATTACATAGTAATAAGGTTAATAGAAGTAATGATGGCAATACGGGAAATACGAGTATGTATGAATAATGGCAAAAAGCTAAAATCTGCTGAGCAGCGGATAGCCCGAGCTCATAGCATCGTGAAAGTAGAGCGCTCGTTCCAGAATCGGACGCCAAGATAACCGGCGCAGTGGCTCATAAACTCACTGGGCGGCTCGGTTATAGTCGCTTCCCCTAAATAGAAGTGCAGGGTGTCCAAACACCAGGGCACTTTCCTGTACATTTCGATATTAAGAGTTGAATCGTGTTGGGGTATACGAAGAGCCCTGAATTCTGGACATGCACATGACCCACCCTCAAAGTTTGCATCGCGTTAGATAGCCACTTAGGACTATATAGAAGGACTTCAGGACTCCTCGTTCGTTAACAGTTGGAAGCTATTTATAGCATGTATATATATATATATTTATACACATAAATCATAAATTTGTATGTATATCTATAGCCCGTAACGTGACCCCCCAAACCCTAAATCCTGGACCGTAAACCTTAACCTCCACCCCTGGTATACACTGGTAATGGGTGGGGGCAGGACACAATAGAGGACCTCTTTCAGAAGGGGTTCCTAGCATGGGCCCCGTGATTTCGAGAAATCCCTTTGGGTGGGTGCCACGGCCCGTAAAAATGAGATGCTGCTAAAGAACTTAAATCAAGCTAGCATGATACGCATATGTTGTACATAGCAGGGTTTCCTCATGATGGTAGCTTATTCTGGGCTCCTTGACAGCAACTCAGAAAAGCGATTCTCATGGAAGACCCCCCGTACTGGTTCTCAGTAGGTAATCAGGGAAAATCTAGGGATTATATTTCATTATTCCCTATTAAGAACTAGCAAGTATCTTGACGTACCCTTCCAGTGGGGCCGCTTGTTACTCAAACCCGGGAAGCTGGCGTAGTCTTAAAAAAGATACCTGAAATCTTCAATATAATTCCTTTCTGGGTTTCCTCGCGGTTTTGGGCCTTTGTCAGAGCACCTGCAATTTTCACTGGGAACGAAGATATTTCATTCAAGGGTCTGGGTTCACAGGCCTACCGGCACGAAGCCTTGCTCCCTCGAAGCGAATCTTGTGCCAGTTATCCTATCCTGAAGTTCTGTAATAGAAGGAAAGCATGGCGGGCGATCCGGCGCAGCAGGAAGAGGAGAATTCGGGGATTGGGGTGGGCATTTCTAGTACCGAAAGACGGACATACATACATGAATCATGAAGACATACATACATACATACATACATACATACATACACACATACATACATGCACTTATGCGCGTAGAAACTTGTAACTTGTCATTGCACATGCATGTCAATGCCGGTGTGGATCCTGGTTTCCTGCTCCTGCATGTGGCCCACAGGTTTAATACAGCCTAGGAATTTGGGTTAAGACGTTGCCTAGGGGCATGGGCGAAAGCAAGTTTGGGAAATAAAGAGCACCTAAGCTTCTAAGGCCGTGGAGCTGGAGCTGGGAACCTGAACAATTGGCGACTGCATTCCTTATCCCTAAGGGTCCAAGTACCCAATAATTATATACTTACCCAAAACCTGTATTATAATCCCTATTACCCAAAGCCCAAGTCCTTAATTATTGGGTACATGGACCCTCTGGGTTTTCGCCCCTGTATTAATTATAGTATTATTCCAGCATTTCTTGTATTATACGTACAAAATCCTATTCTCTTTGAGCATGCCCCTACAGACAGTTCGAACAAGACCGGCTGTGTGTTGAAACTGTTGCGGAGGTTTGGGACCTATAATTTATGCAATCTTGGTAATTGAGGGCCTCTTGGTTTTTTAGGGTTTAAGGTTGCGACAAAAGTCCTTGAAAGTGACAGCCATCAGGAGCACACTTGCTCAAAGGGACATGACGTAACACACCCAATTGGACGCTACTTTATGGCCATCGTGAGGACAGGTATTTTGAACAACTGCTATATGGCAGTTCCGCAAAATTGAGGGTACCCTTTCTGAGGGTACGATTATAGCATTCAGGGCTCCATATTGGGGTACCACTATTTAGGGAAATTACCATATAAGCAAGGACTCCTTCTGGGAAATGTTCACAATATATGTGTAAGCGAAATTGATGTTGCTTTTGAGGCTTGTTGGGGCAGAGTAGTATTTAGCAAGGGCCCCAGGAGAGCTTGGACAGAGGGCTTAGGGTTCAGGATTTAGGGCTTAGGGATTAGAATCCAGTTCCACGTCCGCTTCTTGGCAAGGATTTGGGCTGCGATTTCTCAGCTCTAAACCACTTAGGAGCCTTGCTGTTGAAGACATTGGCTTAGGGTTCGGGGGTTTAAGGGCTTCAGGGTTTAGGGGCTTGGAGTTTGAGGGTGTAGATGGCACAAGGTCGTGCCTGGAATCTCAGCGTTGCCTAGCAACTCCCGAGATTGAAAATTAGCTCCATGCGTCAGACACAAACTAGATCAGAGCTCAAGCCCAAACGCCACCTAAACGTGCAACTGCATTGAAGACTGGATGAGAGCTCAGACAGAGATGGCAACCCTAAACCCTATAAGACCCTATAGACCCTAAATCCCATATAAACTCTTATGAACCCTAAACTCCAAACTTTCCTAAGCCCCTAGAAAAAGCCCGCTGGTTGAGAGAAGGAGCGGCCCAGAATGACTCTGGAGTCGCCTGGCCAAAGCCCTGCTAAGAGTCTGCAGGGTTTATCGTGTAGGGGTTTAGGGTTTAGGGGTTTAGGGTTTAGGGTTTATCGTGTACAGTTTAGGGTACAGGGTTATATTGGTATTATATAGGGGTTGTGTAGGCATATGCTCAGATACATGGACCATGGAGATTATATAGGGGGGTTAGGACGTAGGGTCTGGGCGGGGGAAACTATTCTTTACAGTCTACAATCAAGTAGATCAGAGCATGGACATTGAAATGAAAGCTACTATTCACGGCGTTATGTGAAGTAGTTTTTGCATGAGAGTATATGCCAGGGATTCAGGTCCAAAAGGCTCCTATGGACTTTTTTGGGGCTATAGGATTATCCCCATGTTTGGATTGTTGTGAAGCGTTCAGGAAGAAGGCTGTTCAGCGACGAGGATTGAGGATGGATTGGAGGGACTGCTGCTCAAGATGATGCGGGGATTATTCGGAGCAACTCTCATATGAGCCGTAGTCCAAACTCCTTAAAGGGGCTTATATAGGGGAGTATTACAGGGGTTATTAAGGGGGATGCTAGGAGTTTAGACTATGGCTCATATGAGGAGGATCAACCTGGTTTAGGGTTTAGGATATACAGCTTGTCGGCTTGCTTGCAGAGGTTGCAGAAAGATTATATCTTCAAGAGCCTCCTCAAATCTTCAACTGCGGGAGCGACGGCTTCGTGATGGGGGGGGGAACATGAGCCGCTGTCAATATCAGGCTTAGCAAGGGACCATTAAGGAAGGACACAGGGGTCATTCTTGTAGTTTAGGAACGTCCTAGCATAGTCCTTTAATAAGGAACCCTCATCCATTAACTTATGTAGGAAATATTGGCTGTAGCTCATATGAACTACGACCTTCAAGCCAAAGAAAAAAACGCAAGGCAGGCGCAGGAGCATGTTGAGTACGACCTGTCGATGAAGCACCGCCGGCAGAAATTATTGAGTTTCGCGTTGACATTTGCCAGCTGTTTGGAAGGCAATGCCTCAGTTCATGTCTATATGAGCTATAGTCTATACTCCTGCAAGGTGGGTGATACGGGGGATTATGAAGGGAGTATTAAGGGGATACTAGGAGTTTAGACTATAGCTAATATAGCTCTATGGAAGGGGCTTCAGGCTTTAGGCTTCGTCATATGCAGCTTCTGCCTGCAAACACTTCAATTCACCCGAGCTATTCAGCTAAGCCCTAAACCCTAAACAGTCAATTCCAAAGAGATGAACGGGTGAGGGATGCCAAGATCACTCCAGCCCTGTGTCTCTCATTCGCTTTGGAGCCCATCAAGCCCAATCACTTGTCCCAGCTTTCAAAAGGAAAAAACACATACGGACGCAAAGGCGGACCGTTTTGGGTTTAGGGTTTAGGGGTTTGACCTTAGGACATCCCCGAAATACCTTACTACCCTAAACCCTAAACCCGATTAAAGAGCCTCCGTTATCTGGAGTTTGCATAGGGGCTTCCTTCAGTAAGGTTGTAGCTCTTCTCAGAGCTACCGAGACCAACTCTGTAGATCGGGAACCTATGGGTCCCAGTGCTTAAAGGCAGAGGGCTAGGTTTAGGATTTAGGGCTTGGGGAGCCTTCCGCATGAACGACTTCTTGCAACGTCTTGCGTACTCACGAGGTTTCTATGCTGTCAGGGCTATTTCTTCTGCTGTGTGGGCTTCTCGTGAATGAGGTGCTTCAGGGCGACCTTTAACATCTCCCCATCCAAGAGTTCCAGAAAACATGGGGCTCCTTAAGAAGGATTAGAGTATTCGGGTCTATACAACATATAAGTAGCGCAGCATACAGTCTTTAAGGGAGACCCCAAGAATCCCCTTGTAAAATCTGAGCAATTACTCCCAAATTCCTCTGCAATCCTGGAATCGTGATTATGCAACATCCCGTCAAGGCCCTTCTTAACCTATTTCGGCCCCTAACTCTAGAATCACCATAGACCCCGCATGCGATCCCAGCTTCCAGTTCATTATCCATTGTCCTTTCCGTTGGATTCTCCCTGATCTCTCAGGCGCTTACATTGCCAGAAGCCATAAGCCATCACCCGCCCCAAGCCACTACTCTATAGTGCTAAACACAGACCTTATGGGCCATACATCCTTCACTAGTTTAGGGTTATAGGTTTAGGTCCTATTCTCATGATTTAGGCCCTACCCCAAACCCTAGTTCCTATATACTCTGACCTCCACTACAGTGCACTGCCTGCAGCAGCCAGGATGGTCCCCTTCCTGGACAGACATCTCATCTTCCCAGTGTTCAACTTCCTGCAGGCCAAAAAAGGTTCATGGCTTAGGGTTTAGGCCTCTAAGCCCTAAACCCACCTTAAATCCTTAACCCTAAGCCCTAAACCCTAAAACCCTAAGCCCTAAATTCTGAAATCTAAGGTGCTCCTTTGTTTTAGGGGGGGGCTCAGGCCTTTATTGCTTTTGTTCTTGCTGTTCATGGACGGCTCGGCGGGACTTCCTCCCCCTGAAAACATGAGATCCCAGAACCCAAGAAGGTTTAGGGTTTAGGATTTATAGGGCTTAAAGGGTTCAGGGAATAGGGTCTCAGTATAATTTAGTGCGGCAACGAACAGGTACATTATGGAGGCTGTTACTTCACCTGTTCAGAGACTGAGGTTCAGTGCTCGGAGTCTGAGACTCGTGTAGGATTTCGAGATTTTGGGTTTAGGATTTAGGGTTTAGGTTTTATGGCGCTTCTGGTTGTTTGGAGCCCTGCGGACAAGGTAACAATTTTCGATTCTGAAGAAATGCCGTAGCTCGAGATCCTCAATGTGAAGACCCTGTGGGCTCTTCTAGTCTCTTGAGAGCTACAGAGTCACGAAAACCACCAAGAGAACGCTCACTTTGTCCTTCTTACTCAGAGGCCTTGACCCTCGAATCCTAAGTCCCCATCTGCAGGGGTTAAGGTTAGACCTTAAACCCTAAACCTGAATACCCACCCCAAACGCCTCTGGGATGCAGGAGACAGGCCTGTACAACCAGACCGCCATTCAGAGGGCGCAGCTCACTCTGCTCGCAGAGACGAACCTATGGCTTGCGTTTAGAGCGACTGGTGGGTTTGTAGAGGTATTCTGGAGTTTGGGGTTCTATAGTCCCCCTTAAATCGATAGAATATGGGGTATATGGGGATCTTGTTATAATATACCCAAAGACATATTCTATCTACTTAAGGGGGACTATAGTTCTTCAGATCTTTTGGAGGTGGGGTTTTTGTGATTTTAGGCTTTGGAGTTTAAGCTTCCGGTTCCTGCGCTTGGGGTCGGCTTCTCTACGCAAATGGAACGCGATTCGTGAGGCCATTTTACTCCAGTGAACTGGAGTCCCTTCAAGGAAAGGAAGGCATTTGTTGATTTCTCCAGGCTCAGAAAATTGTGACCGTGACATTACGTCGTGTCTGAAGGTTCTAGGCACCCCAGTAGCATCCTTTGTTCTTTTTCATATCGGTGCCCGCCCCCTTATTAAACCTGACCTTTCGGAAGAAAGGCACACTTACCGTTAATTAAGGGTGACTGGAGAACCCTAAACCCCTAACCCTAAAACCCTGGGTTGTTTTCAGGTCCCGGGGAGCTTGCAGGATTCGTGGCTGTGGAGTCAGGACTTTAACGCCGTGTCCTGAAAGTCAAATAGGTATGAACCCGAGGACTTTCAAAAGAAGATGTCTGTAACCTCCTCGCCTAAACTCTAAACCTTAGACCCCAACCCTAAACCCTAATTTAAACCCTAAAGCCTACTCCGCGTGCAGGAACATGATTGACTGGGCCCTTGAGACCTACACCATGATCGGGGAAGAGCAACCGCAAGAGCTTATCGACAGGCCTGCGGCCAAGGTCATGTGAGCTATGGCCTAAACTCCTTAAATGGGGCTCTATATATACATATATGTATGGGATTTATACAACCCCCTTTGTTTAGGGTTTAGGAGGTTATAAAGGGGACTACTATAGGAGTTATGATGGGGGATACTGGGAAGTTGAGGCTATAGCTCTTGTATTTTCAATAGGTTTTCAGGGGCCCTGCAAAAAAAATACAAACTTCAAAAAACATGGGACCGTTAGGGCCGGATTAACAGGAATTGGAGATACTGTGGCGTAATGAGGGTTACCAAGGCCTATTTATCCCTGATATTCTGCACGGTTCCTTTTAGGGTAGGGCTTAGGCTTGCTGTTGCGGGACACAAATTAAGCTAGCGTAGTGGAGAATCAAATGCAAAACAAATTGGAGGATAACGAGGAGTCTGGTGTTATAGAGGCTTATATTATTCCGGCAGTTAGGCCAATGAAATTAAGCACCTTATGAATAGTAAATTCTTGGGTTCCCTCATTCAACAGCAACCCCGTTTTGTGCTAACAAAGTTTTAGGACGTGGGCGGGGCGCTCAAAACAGGAGTCCTCTGGGGGCCATGTCGGGCATACACAGGATCCTAAGCGCGTTCGAGGGAACCCCCCCCATTAGAGAGATGAGTGTCCCAGTGGGTTTGAAGCACCGAAATCTGAAGGAGCTCTTGCAACAGAGTGGTTGAACAGGAGAGAGAGAGAGAGAGAGACATATATACATATATATATACACATATACATATACATGTATATGTGATATGTGTATATATTATCATGTCTTTTCGGTACATATATAGATAGACAGACCATTCAGGGTTTAGTTGCCTGCTGCAAAAAGTGTTCAGGTTCGGGTTTATGGAGAGCACAAGGTTGAGAGTGGAACCCGGGAACAGTGACTTGAGTTTGAGACTAAGGAACGACGGCCAATGGTGTACACAAACGTGAGGTTCCTTAACAATAACCCACTAGATTTCATGGGCTCCCGTACTACTCCCCTATGCTACGCCCCTAAATTCCTCTTCAACAGGAATTTGGCCGAATTTCTTTAAAAACCCCAATTCAGGTGGAACCTAGGGGAATAGTAGGGTAGCAAGGGACCCCATGATAACTGCAACCTACAAAACTGCCACAGGCGAGATTTGGTACTGCAGCAGCTCGAGAATTCTCGCGAGAAGGCTGGTGAACGCTGGGGTTGAATTAGCTTACTGGTTCTTGGCAGGGTCTGCAGGAATATACACCATATAGATATATATATATATACCCCCTATATATAGCATTCCCACCATGTTCCCTACTAAGAATCAGAAAGTTGTGGTTTCTCTAACCATCCCCACCCCCACCCCCACCCCCACAGATGCACACACTACACCCCGACGTCTCTGAAACCCTAAACCCTAAACAGTAGTCAGATGTAGCCACAGAAGTTCAAAAAGAACAGCTCGTAGCAGGCCTGAGCCCCTGACCGGCCTGTGCCAAGAATGGGTTTAGGATTTTAGGGTTTAGGGTTTAGGAAGCCATAGCTAGAGTAACCAAAGTACACAGCAGAAAGGGGCTTTACCATTCTTGAAGGGTCTAGGTTCCCCTACTTGGAGGGTCAGGGGGACTTCGTAAGTAGACTTATAGCCCCTACAAGCCTTGTAATAGCCCCGCCTATCCCCCTCATTAACCTACTAAGTCCCCCTCAGCCTAAACCCTATAGACCCTAGATCCTAAACCCGAACAAAAATTATATTAGCTTCCATCTTCTTTGCCATTCCTTCTGAACCTCCGTGTGGGTACATCCCAAACAGAAGCTCGACCGCGACAAAATCAAGCCCGAAGGCTCCACTAAACCCTGAAAAGTTTGGGGTTCGGGGGATTTAAGGCTCTGGGGTTTTGGGGTTTAGAGGTACAGGGCTTAAGGCTTTAGACGGCGGTTTAGGGGTTCAGGGTCTAGGAAAGAAACTCGCAATCCCAGAGCTGCTACGAACGCCCAATTTATAATCAGGTCATATCCTGAAGTCTCCTTGACCCTAAACCGTAAACCCTTGAACCACTGTTATGCATAACACCCTTGTTAGGTGATGTTCTAAAGCAACTCTCTCATCCCCAACAACGAATTTATGTATATGTTCAATTTCTGTTTGGTGGGTTAGGGTTGATCCTAATGGCTGTTGGAAGGTATGTTCGGTAGCTTCCATGCACAGGGTGCCCAAATACAGTATCCTGCATACAGTATATCTTAGTACTTATCATCATGAGCCCTAAATAGTGACCCCAAATTAGTGGAAACCCTTATATGTCTGCCTGGAAGCAAAACATCCCAGAAGCAGACCTGACTGCAAGGAGCGATGGGAAACACTAGGTCGCCATTGCAGGGCGTACTCGGTTAAGGGGATTAGGGGTAAGGGCTTTTATATGTGGATTGTGGGATGTACGTCCTAATGAGGCAAACGGCGAAGAAGCCATGATGCCCTAAACCCTAAACTAGTTGAAATCCACAAGCCATGAGCTGAGAAATGCACATAACACCCAAAGGTCCTGCCGCTGCTGGAGATTCTGGAGGACAGACACGCAGGGAGTGCATCGTTGCAGGGTCAACTTGCTTGAGTCGGAGAAATCACCGGTGCTTGGTAGTCCATGAGGCAATGGATATTGTTACTATTATCATTCGTATTTGTGCTATTCTTATTAGTATTAGTATCTTTGCTATTATTATACCTCTGTTAGTCCTGATACAATCCCTTACTCGAAAGCGCCATCTACGGGATGCCAGGGTCCCTTCCCTTGTTGATTGGGATCGGGCGTGCTGGATGTCTTGACCATTTCCCGCACACACCATCGTAGTGGCAGCGTAGCACACATGTTTTGTTGGAGGTTGACTTTTGCAGTGCCAGAGAGCTTAGCGACAAGACCACGGTGGGCAACAGAGTCGTGTGACAAATGCGTGCCTCGTAGTAGGCCCTGTGCCGTGGCTTGTGCAGAATTGCCTTGAGCATGTCCACAGTCAGTTCTTGGAGAATCCGCGATTTGTTGATGTTGCGAGCTGTTTGGACTACAGCTTTCTCCTTGGTTCTCAGTAGGGGTTGATGGTTATAGGGACCAATATTGGGGACCGCATATCGACTCCCACCCTCATTGCTTCTAGGCAACATACTGACTGGCCGAAGCTGTTTGGAGCACGTTCCGGTGTCAACAGACTTGCCAACATCTCAAGCTGGCTGGAAAGTTTTTCCTGAAAGTCTACCCCAGAACCTCCTTAAGGATCCAAAAAATGGAGACCCCCAATATGGGTGGGAGGGAAAATATGAACCCATTACTACATTGGGGGGTTATTAGCGGGTGCCATTGTTTGGATCCTTTAAGGGGGTCTGGGAAACCGTGAAAAAACCGTTTGCTGTATACCCTACGCAGGAAGAAGAGCAGGTTGAGAAGGTCTCAAAGTGCAAGATTCTTGGCTGCAAGCCCTGTTTCTGTGAGGTCTACACTTCCGCGGCTTAGACTTTAGGGTAGGGGTTTCTTGGGTTTCATACCATATTCACCCTCGCGGCCCGAGCTTGTGGATGTTTTAGGGGTCATTAATGAGGGGAGGGTTTGGAACGACCCGGGCTTACAGCTGCTGCGAGATTCGTCATGGCTAGGATTTCTGAAGCTTCCCCGGCTAGCACTCTTTGGGAACACACTATCCCTTTATCAGGGTCCCTAGGTTTTGGACCAGTTTCGCGGGGGGCTCTCTTTTGAGAAGTGGCCACATCGCTTTGAAGAAAACATTTGCGTGACCATCCTGAGGGGTAGGAATCTGAAGGCTAGTCGAGGGTGGGATAGCGGAATGGATCCAAAACCCTTCCGCCTGTTCCCTACGGAGCACCAGGGCAATTGTTGGAAACCTTTGAAATTGGGGTATATGGGGATCTTATTATAGTATACCCAAAGCCATATTCTATCTACATACACTCCCCCAAACTAACATGGAAACCCATATAGCCCCATTTTAGAGGGACTATCGTCTTTATAGGGTCCCTTTTGGGTTTCCATGTTAGTTTCCAGGAGTGTAAGGGGGACTATCGGGGCAGGACCAAACTTAGAACTTCTGTGAGGACCATCGAGGAGCTCTGCACGACCTTCAGCCTCGACCCGGCCGTCATTGACGGACACGGTTTAGTGTTTAGGGTTGAGGGTTTAGTGTTTAGGGTTGAGGGTTTAGTGTTTAGGGTTGAGGGTTTAGTGTTTAGGGTTGAGGGTTTAGTGTTTAGAGTTGAGGGTTTAGCGTTTAGGGTTGAGGGTTTAGTGTTTAGGGTTGAGGGTTTAGTGTTTAGGGTTGAGGGTTTAGTCTGCAATGAGGTCCAAAATGTCACAGGTACGGTTTTACATACGCGTGGGGTCCGGGTAAGCGTAATACAGTACTAATACCAATACTACGAGAGAAGCACTATTTTAAGTGTAAGAGTGCTATCAATGTTAATTAATGCCAATGCTAATGATAAAAGAGTTGTAGATTACTTAGTTTTGTGTAATACGAGTACAGTACTAGTAAGTTGAATAGTTAGAAACGATATCATTTTCAATAATACTAATCATAAAAGCAAGTCATGGGCTCCTTAGAAATCGTTGTAGTCCTCTTGACTGCCATGGCCATGGCATTTGCTTACAGCCTACGTTCTCTATGTTGCAAATGTTAACCGCAGGCGTTAAGGATTGAGAAAGCTTCAGGAGCTGCATAAAACAGAGGACACCGGCAGCATTTTCAATGATCAAGACCGAAGATCTGCTCGCTTGTCTGCATCCTGTGCGATGACTCGAAGATAGTTCAACGCCCCATTAAGGCCTCTTCCTTCCCTAAATATAAGCCGCCCATTCAAGCGATGCAGCTGCAGGACTTGTGCACTACGCCAAGCTGCAGTACGTCCCTGGATTTGTCAAAGGGTTTAGGGTTTAGGGATTGAGTGTATGGTATTCATATTTTCAACAAGTATGTATATAGGTGTTACAGTAGGAATGAGAACTAAGATGGAGTGGACAACAGAATGGAAAGTGCGTGTTTACATGGATGTAGAGGGCATTCATATTCTGTTTGCTTGGGCTCTAGGTCTATAGGTAATTCCTATGTTGACCCGTTTGGGGCCCCGAAGCTACAAACAGTACTTACCCTGCTCCGCATGGAGCCTTAGGTCAAGGCCATGAGTACCCCAAACATGGTTAACACTGAATAGTTGCGATTTTCGCTCTCCCTGTTTGCAAGTACGCATGTAGATTCAAGTAAGATACAGACCTAGGCCCACGAAAAGGAATAACTCTATTCCTTGCTGATCCTGGCTGGCAAACCTTTAGAACGTCAACAACTAATGGACATGATCCTTGTTCAGCCGTGTCCCAGCACACAGCCAGGACCAAACCCTGGACCCCAAACCCACCCAGGACTGTGGAAACTACACCCTCAGCGGTGAGCTTCTGAAGCACTACCGACGGATGATTTCACAGGATCGCTGCGAGGGAATGCCGTGGGGAACTCACTGAAACATATGGGGGTTTCCCAAAATTAGGTGTAATTTTTGGGGGGTCCCTATGATAAGGATTATAGTATTTTGGGGTCTATATTGGGTTCCCCCTATTTAAGGAAACTACCATTTATATCGAGGATACACGTTGTACCTGAAAGGCTGCACTCCTGTGTTGGGGGTCCTGTTGTGAGAGGGCTTCGTTCTTTTTTTTTGCGGGCCCTAAACCCTAGACCGTAAACCGCGTATAATAGTTTGGCCTTGATTTTGGTACATTATCCCAATTTGGACACCCAACACATGCATCCAGCAACATTCCTAGCCCTACATACACTCACCAAAAACCATGAGACAAGCATGCCTCATGATATGGGTAGTTGCCAAGATTATGGTCCCATTTTGGTATTATTCCTAAACATTGGATGTCGCAATACAATCTATAAACAAACGGGGCCCGCAGTTTTGAGAACATCCCATTTGTAGCTGTGGCTTTGCTGTACTCGCGGCTGCAGGACCCAGCCTAACCTTCAATTTCTAAACCCTAAAGCCCTAAACCCTAAAAACTTAAAACCCTAAACCCTAAACCCTAAAATCCTAAAACCCTAAAACCCTAAACCCTAAAACCCTAAAACCCTAAACCCTCAAACCCTAAACTTATCTCGCAGCCTGACACTCTTTCCCCTTACTAGCTATACTCTAAACTCCTCAATAAGGGTTATATAGGAGATTACATAGGGGACTACTATAAGGATTATTAAGGGGGATACAAGGAGTTTAGACTATAGCTCATATGTCCGCTGTTTTTTTTTCCGTGTTTTCGCGCGCGAAAGGGCCGCGGCGAGTATTTGACCGAGACCACATATGTCTACTAATATCCTGCCTTGTTGGTTTGCACAGAACTCCGTAGTACCAAATAACTGCAAAGCTTTAGAAACCCGTGTGGTACCAAACCAGCTGCTTGCCAGGATGCCGAGCGCCCAATGATGACCTCCAAGCAGGCTGACAGAGCATTCCAAATGTAAGAGCATACAGTGTCCTACGTAATTAGAAGAAGGTTTCAGGGTGAAAAACATACAAGGAAGGCAAGAGAGTTGGGTATTACTCAAGGTTCTTCAGTAGACGCATGCTGGAACTGCTCAATGGCCAACAATAGTCACTTGTAATGAGACGCAAGGAGCAGGGCAGCAGGTGGAGAAGCATAAGGAAGGAGCAAGAGCGGTAGAAAGAGTAGAAACAGTACGAGGAGCAACAGCACCACGACCCATGATAGTGGTAGTCTTCCTGGTTGTGGTTATGCCTTAGCATCTTCCCCTCTTGTTGTCGGCACCGCGAAGCCGCACTTGTCCAACAGAAGAGGAAACCGTGCATGGCTGGCAGTTCTTGCGTTCGTCTACAATCACCTGGGGGTTGTTCTAAAGGTGCTTAATAAGGGACCATTGGGAATTCCTTTCCCCAAACGGAAGTCCTAACCAAACAGGGAACCCACATTATGGCCATTTTGTGGACAGGTATTTTGAACAGCTACGAATCTGCAATTACGGCATTTGAGCGGCTTTCGCGTACACGTTGGCAAGTTGGCGACTATCCAACTCCTAGGTTTGCTCGCGGCATGACAATGTACCATCAGAAAATATGGGAGTGTAGGGGCATTATTAGTCATACTGGTGGTTGGTGGGGAATACGTAGGCAATATAATTTTAACATAACCCCTACATTGTTTATTCCCTTGTTCCCTACTAACCCACAGTAAGTTATGGCATGGGGTTAGAGAACCTGGTTACGCAGGTTTTGCAGTGCATGCGTTACAAAGATACTGAAACGTTGAACTACCAAGACAGGTTTGTTAGTATATGAGGAGGATACCCAGATGACTTATGAGTACACCTAACCTCTCCTGATTATAGCAATTTACAGCAGAAGAACGCGCTTGTTTTAAAAGACCGGCACCGATAACAATACGGCACAATACAGGGGGCAATGCCATAGATATGCATGTAGCAGGTTGATCCCCGTTCTACGTTCCACGGCTGTAGTACAACAGATCCCAGACCACAGGCCCTATACCCAAGAGGCATGCAACAGAAGACAGACCAAGCCCCATGCCTTACACCCCAAACCCCTAAATCCTTAACCCCTAAACCCCTAAAACCCCCATTAACACCTAAGACCCTAAATCCCTGAACTCCCAGAATCCCTACGACCCCTAGACTCCTAAAACCCTAAACCCTAAACCCCCTAAACGCCCAAATAGTAGTTTCCAGTTTCTTTTCCATTATCCCCATATAACCATATATTATACCCATATATTCCTGTATTCCCCACTAAACCCCAAACCTTGCGTCAGGTGAGCTGCATCTGGGGCACTCTAGCGTCATTCATCCTGCCGCATGGCTGCACTACCCATTGGGGGGGTCCTCAAAGGGTTGGGGGTTAGGATTTCTATAACCAGTAGGGGCCCATAATTCTGAGAACGACCCTCATGGAAACTTGTTATGGGGTGTAGCCCTTGCGTTGTTCTTGGTTATTGTGATTTTTTTACGACTATGAACATGATAGTATGATAATTATATTATTGTTGTTATTATTGCTAGTCGTATTAGTATTAATACTATTCTTACTATTACGTGCGGCTGACGGATTGGCGTTTCGGGCTTCGCGCTTGGGGATAAGGACTTCTCAGAAGATGCTTATTTTGGGGACCAAGGAGGAGCATGTTGGAGTACTCGGTGGGCTCGGCAGATTTGTTTTGGAAATGTATGCGTAGGCTCCACTGTGAGACGTTCGTCAAACTTCCTGGTCAACTCATGTTGCTGCGCATATTGCAGGGTGTAGGGTAGTTGTTGATGAACTGTACACTCTTAAAGCCTAAGGCCAAATCAGAAAGATGAGCGGGCTTTGGGCGTAAGTTCGCCATACAGGGTCTTGAACACCGCAGCCAAGTAAACACCTCCCATCAATATCTCAACACCCTGCTACTACAGAATCCAAACTCAAAGGTTCAACATCGCTAGGTACTAGGGATAGTCACGGAGAGTCTGCATGTTTTGGTGCAGCTGGAGATCCTGATGTTTAGCGGCAATTGATAAGTGTTAAGCATGCAAGTTGTTTCAGGTTGACAACAACAGTCGTCTGCTTTCATGATGCGCCCTCTGGTCTTACTACCCATGAGTCCTAATTATCTCGTCGCCAACGCCCTACCTAGACCCTCCAATCTAGTTCGTTTTTGGAGTTTGGTATGGTTGTTTGGTTAAGATCCTTATCAGGAGTGCCAAAAGGGCACTACACTGGAGGGTCCAGGTACACTCTAAGCCCCTACTGGGAAAGTTTGTGCTGAAGCCCTACGCTCCGCCTTGCGCCCAGGAATCGTGAGTTCGAGGAGGCCTCGAGCCCCCATATAGGTACCCTCTCCGAAACTCGCATAGAGCCCCATAATTCAAGGGTGTCAGGCGTGTACCCCTGGGGCTTATGGTTTTTTGGGTCTAGGGTTTGGGTTTAGGGTTTGGGGTTTATGCCCTAGGGTTGTACCCATGGGTTTGTGGATCCTTTTAAGGGACCCTAGCAGACTATATTGGCTACTATAAGGCCAATATTTGGGCCACATTGGGGAAACCTTTTAGGGGTACGACCTTAGGGGTACAACCCAGGAACCCTTGAATAATCCACTCCCCTAAGAATATAAAACCCCCCCAATCCCCCTGATGTTAAATATTCCCCATGATGGTATAATGGGAGTAGTTAAATTTGGGGGGTGGGTTTAATACTAGGGGGAGGGGATTAATTGCGCCCTTTCAACAGGGGCCCGCGGTAGGGATTGCAGGCTAGTCTGGAAGAGGCTGTCATTTATGTATTACTTGATGCTGAAGCAGACCGCTGCTGTAGACCTCGAGCCTCAGGGCTGCTTTCAACTAAGGGTTGATAGGAAACCTAAATAAGGGGACCCTAATATAGACCCCAATATACTATAGTCCTTATACGTGTATGTACTCCCCAAAGAGGTACCCCTAATTTTGGGAAACCCCTATATCGAAAGCTGGAAAGCAGCCAATCATCATCTTTGCAATGCACATCCTGATTTCCGTGCTCGCTCATGTCTAGGCTTCGCAGGTTCCTCGCATGACAGCCAGCTTTTCTGGGCCACTTTCATGTGCCCAAAAAGATCCCAAACGCGGAGGGCCTGTAAAGCCGTGAATGGTCCTCGCATCTTGATTCAAGTTTGCAAAATCCTGGATGCTCACGACCTCTTGCATCTTCGGATGGTTGGAGAGCAGCAGGTCCTGCATAAGTCTCATTACTTGCGAAGAGTTAGTAACGATGGATAGCAGGGAATAAAAAGGAAATATCATGTATGGCTGACGATTGCGGATTATGCAAGCGCTACTTGCCTTCCATTCCGCCATTTCGTACCTACCACCCATACCTTTCCGCCGCGAAGCGGCGACCTTCCACGTCTCAACACTCAGAAAAGCTCCCCTAAACCGCAAAACCCTAAACCATCCTAAACCCCAAACCCTAAATCTCAACACGCCTAGCAGCCTTAGGGTCAGAGCCACCAGGGCCTGGCCAGAATAGATCACATGTATGTGAGCTGTAGTCTACTACAGGGCTTATTAAGGGGGATACTAGGAGTTTAGTTGAGTTTCGATTATAGCTCAGATGTATTTGTGTGTAGTACTCAAAGGCGAACCCCCTTTGGAAGCCTCTTATGTCTGGAAAAGGCTACAGATGGAGCTGAGAGAGCCGTAGACGTGATCTTCAAGATCAACGAGTTCTTGGACACTACGACCCCTGGCCTAGCAGTGGATATTCTGAAGCCCTGAACCCTAACCCAGATCCCTGATTAATAAACCCTTCCCCATAATAGGGATACCCTGTGACAGGAATCCTAATATTTAGGCCCTTGAATAAAAGGAGGGGGCTAGTAATCATGGGTCTACATTAAACCCTAATCACTAATCTCCAAAGAAGGCTTCTCTTTGGGTTCGTCGGGATGCGGCCGGGTCTTGCAATGATGGACGCCCCCTTGAAGGATTGTGTCAGTGGTCACTCAATAAGGGCGGGCTGTTTAGGGTTTAGGGTATGGATGGTCCTGTCATGGCTCCAACTAAGGGATCATCATTTTAACAAGCACCCATATGCACTATAGTCTTAACTCCTTAAAGGGGGCGTATTTATAGGGATCATATAGGGTACTACCATGAGATTATGAAGGGGGATACCAGGGGTCTAGACTATGGCTCACGGAAATCCGATGAAACCGGGGCATATAGCAAGTGATATTTAGGGGCTTAACGGGATGACAGTCAGCTAAGATTCCTGGCAATAATGATATAGAACCCCGCAAAGGCACCCTTTGATAGGGGACAATATAGGGGAGTATTATAGGGGTTATTAAGGGGGATACAAGGAGTTCAGACTATAGCTCATATATCCCGATCGCGCAAAGCTTCCATTTAGTATGCCGCCGGCTTTGCCCATATGATTTTCCATTCCCCACAAGCAGTGCCCTTTCCCTTTGTATCCCTATATATCTCCTGTATATCTCCTATAGGTACCTGCACATATATACATATATACACACTCATATACGGACACGTATGTTTCCCTATAATTCCCTATATATCTCCAATATATCGCTGTGCATCCGCCAAGGAAGATGTCCAAGAAGGAGGTCCTCCTCCAGCGTACCTGGCTGTTGCATTGGTCCCTCTTTCCCATCTTTACGGTCCCTTGGCCTGTAAAATTCAAACGGCTTCGGGTTTTGGATTTCGTGTGGGTTTGGAGCTTGGGGTGGGTTCGGGGCTTAGGCTGAGTGTGAAGGAAAAGCCATTATGCAGTGCTATATAGGCATAAGATTCAGATGCTTGCAGTGGACAGGGATCTTACAATAGGGTTAAGGGTCACGGGATTAGGGCATGTGCGTGGCTCACACTCGCTTATCTTTACGTTGCCTCAAACTTGTCGGGATAGCCATGACAGGCTCTATCAGGGTTTAGGGTTTAGGGTTTAGGGTATGTCCTGCAGTGTCCGGCAGTGTTGCAGTTGGTTCGGTAGGCGCGTGCATCCCCAAGTCGTTGTCGAAGCTCTATTTCTGCTCAGCGCTATAGCCCCCCTGAAGTAGATAGAATATGGCTTTGGGTATATTATAATAAGATCCCCATCTACCCCATATTCTATCTAATTAAGGAGGATTATATGTGGCGCCCATATTCAGGGTAGAGTAGAGCGAGGACCGTGAGTTTCAAACCCCAGGTTTCGCAGAAGTCTGGTCCAGACGTCATATGGAAGCGTTTCAGCCTGCATTTAACATCGCCCTGCAGATTAAAAGTACCATGCCCTGGTCCATTTTCTGTAGACTTTGCAGGCCCTTCTGCAGCAAGCTAATCTCTAAACCCAAAACAATAACTTCTGCGCATGACACCGCACCCTTCAGCAAGGCTGAGAAAGTGGAGGTGAAGCTTTTGGACTTCTTCTTGAATGAGAAGAGCCTGTGGCAAGCCAAGAACTTCCTTGGGTTGTTTTTTGGGATTCAGTTTGAAATAGAGATAGATCCGGGCTCCGGGAATTTTTATGGGGGGTACTCGTATATAGTATGGGGACAACACAGGGATGGTAGTGATGATGCCAGATGGAAAAGAACATGGAACATGCAATGCAACTGGGGACTCATAGGGTCATCAGGATCAAGAGGGCTTTGGCAGTAAGAGGGTTTGTCAAGCACCACCCAAAAAAAATGCTATCATATGATCATAAGACGACGAGTACTCGTAGATGCATTTGTAGCAGCTGCAGTGGTGGTAGTAGAACTTAGTAGTGCTGCGGCTACTACTGCTTGTGAGCACGATTGCTTCTACCATATTTGTAATTATTGTTGCTATCACCACTACTAGTACTAGGACTACTAGTACAGTTACTACTCTTACTAGTACTAGTGCTGTTATTATCATTACTACTATTACCACTACTCATATTAACAGTAGCAATACGTACTACTGGCACTGGCATGACGAAGCCGCCACAGCCACAGCCGCCGCTGTCACCGTGACCACCACCGCCCCCGCCCCCGCCCCGCCGCCAGCACCAGCACCAGCACCAGCACCAGCACCAGCACCAGCACCACCACCACCGCCGCCGCCGCCGACACCACCACCCCAAACCCTAAGCGCATGTTGAGGTCTTGCATCTCCCTCTCTTGTCCACACCTCTTCCGCTACGTGGCTGCGTGCCTGATCCTTCAGAAGCGCCTCAAGCACCTCATGAAGGACTCGTGTTGTTGTAAGCGGGGCTTTTAAAGGGTTAGGACTCTGTTTCGGGCATTTGCACAGTGAAGACCATGAAGGATGACGGGTTTCTGCTTCATGGATGCAGCCAAGCGCAAGGCCTGCCTTTGGTGCAGATTTGGCAAAATCTCTGCAGAACTCAGCAGGTTTTTTTGGAGGGTTATGTAGCAAAGACATTCATGTGAAAGAGGAAAGACATGGTTCAGCCAGGTACCTACGGTAGAATCTTAGAAACGGATTCGGTGCAACAAATATCAAAAATGCCCTTGAGCAGGAGGAATATGTCTTCGTAGCCTTGTCATGGTTTTCAGTAGAAAAACCTGCTGCGCCGCTCAGCATTTCATATGTTGCAAGCTCACCCCGCGAAGACAAAAGGATCAGGCTTGCCACCACCTGCATGTCTTGTTGCAATCCTGAAAGTATTTCCGGAGCCCGGGAATCTTGTAATCATCTTTCCTTGAGCACTGGGGAAATTACTTTGGGGTGGCTCTTATGCATTAGGGTGAGACGGGCTCCAGGACACCGTCTGGATCATCCAGCATGAGAATGCCGCCGCCCGGAAGCAGCACAACAACGCTGAAGTATTACTTGCTTTCATTGTCTTTGACAGTATAAACACACCGCTAGCACAAAGAAGGACGGTAACTTGGCTTTTTTTAACTTGCATAGTGCACATATGCTAGAAACTCTAGGAAGCGTCAGTGCCTCTACTCTGCATTTGTCCTCGACTGAGGTGTACAGCGATCCAGTGACGCGCTTCCTGATGGCCCTGTACGTGGATATGGCCACTGGTCCGAGGTTGAGCTAAATCACAACTAGGTGGCACCTTGCGATAAGTCCTACTCTTATGTAAGCAGACCTGTTCTCTTTCTCCTGTCGTTTTTTTGTAACATTTATAAAGCCCAGACTGATCCACTGCGGCTTCAGAGCGCAAGGCCTTTCCTGAATTCTTCGCATCTTACCGGCATTCTTAATTATCATTCTTGTTATTGCTATTATTCGGTTATTCTCATCATTGCTACCCAAGAGCCCGTACACAAGCCCACAAGCCTTCAAGCACAGCTCTTGCACATCCAAAGATGAAAGGCTATACTTAAGCCCTCTTGCCTAAGGCCCCAAGCCTAAGTCCCAGCAGAGGATGTTGATTTTTAGTGCCGCAGACCCCTGAACCCTATACCCTGAAGCGTAAACCCTAAACCCCAAACCCTAAGCTCTGAAACCCCAAAACCCTGAAACCCCTATAACCCTGAAACATAAGAGCCGAGGACTTCGACGAGGCGCAGCACGAGCTGCAGAAGTGCGATCTTTGGCCAGATGAGGGTTTAAGGTTTTATGATGGAAGGATTCGGGGTTCAGGGTTCAAGCTTTCGGGTCTATGGGCTAGCTGGAAGATCAGCGATATGGCTCTAGCGTGCTGGGTTTATCGTTCTTGTAGCCATTGTTCACCCTGGCATTTGCCTCTCAGCTCTAGTATTTGGAAAGGTTTGCAGTTCAAGTTTTCGGTCCCGGGTTCTAAGCTCTCTTTCTTGGCCTGGCGTGCAGACTTTACAGTTCAGGATTTGCTTGCTGAGCTTTTGATTGACTGATGCTGAGGTGAAGGCGAAGGTATTTGAAGAGCCAATTTTTTGTGCCCTGGAGTTGCTAAAAGGTCAGAGGAGATGTTTCTGCAGCAGCAGCAGCAGGAGTAGCAGCAGTAGCAATAGCAGGAGGAGAAGTCGAAGAAAAAGACAAAACCTGGGTCGGGGATTGCTCACACGCAGTTTCCGTGCCAACGCATGATCGTCCCAACGCAGGATCATGAACATGGGTTTTACATACCTTCGACATGCGTCGGTTTTCATGCCTTGCGGCTTTGGTGTTCACCTTAGGCCGAGGCCTCTCACCTTTTCTCAAGGCATGGCGCGCTGACAAACGCGCAGCCTTTTGTCCCAGTACAACTGGAGGTTTCCCACAATCGGGGGTACTTTTTGGAGGTTATTAAGCTAAGGATCATAGTCATAGTATTTGGGGCTGTAAATTAGCAACCCCCCGGTTGAAGGAAACTGCCAACCAATCGTGTAATCGGTGGCTAGGTACACTGTGCACGCTGGAGCTTCTAACCCGAAAGCCCAAGAAGCCTTCAGGCAGGAACATGCCGTAGACTAAGCCTGGATCCCCAATATGAGCTATAGTCTAAACTCCTTCAGGGGGTTATATACGTGAGTATTCTCTGGGTTAGTAAGGGGGATACTAGGAGTTTAGACTATAGCTAGTGTGATTACAGGACTGCACCTGAATCAGAGGATCATTCTTGGGATCCCAGGCATCACCAAGCCCTAAGCTGCTCCCGATGCCCAGGAGAAAGTGTGCAAGGTAGACTATTTCCTCGAACGCCACTGGCAGGACTTCCAGGACCTCGGCCTGAGAGTTTCGTGAGCCAGAAGGGGTGTTCTCACAAAAGTGGGGGTACCTTGTGGAACCTGAAGGATGTGTTGATTAGCAGGTCATGGGGTTCTCTCTCAGCGGCTATTCACGGGATGCTTCGGGAACTCCTTTCCGAAAGTCCTCACAGGATGTAGATGCACCGCATTCGTGCTTCGACTCGGAGGTTCATGGGACTTCGTAACTATTTATAACCTAGCCTATAACCCTAGTTCTACTCCACAGAAATGGCCTTCTAGAGGTTACCTGAACAAGTAAGTTGGGGTTATAACCCCAGTTACAAGTAGTCACTAAGTCCCTTGAAGCTCCAAGTAGGGCTCTTTCGTGCATCGACCGGCCTCAGGAGGGTTGTGTACATAAGGTAGGAAATGGTTGGATGTCAAAGCCAAAGCCTGTTTGGGGCTTTCCCGTAGGCTCTCTTAAGGGGTCTTGTATATTCAGAAACCCCAATGTATATGAGCTATAGTCTAAACTCTTTAAAAGTGGTTCTACGGTAGATATTTCTTAGGGGAGTATTATAGGGCTTATTAAGCGGATTATAGGAGTTTCGACTAGAGCTCAGATTCCAGTCCTCCTTTTCCCCTGCACGACAGTAGCTTCTGTGGAGCCCGCCTTGGGTTCAATCTTAGTGTGGGGAGGGTCCATATTCCCGAAGGTAGCTGGACATGTTGGGGAACATGTTGAAGATACCGGAGGGAAGGGTGCAGGGGATTGGTTCCACTAAGCATTCCTGCGCAGGAGAATGCCCGCTTGCTGATCTTTGAGACCTACTGTAGGAGCTGCGATCTCCCTGGGTTTAGGGCTTCGGGTTTAGGTTGGGTACTGCTCCCACCCATTAACAGTTGGATATTCTCTATCATATATCTATATGAAGCCCTCAATATGACCCCTATTATAGACTGTTCATGGGGGCCGGGACCCAAGGTTTAGGGTTGCGGGTTGAGGGGTTGCATGAGGGTTTTCCGCCACAAGTTCAGAATGCCTTTGTAATGAGGATTTTGTTGCATGTGGGAGGGTGTGCAAAAGGGTTCCCTAATGCCAAGGTATGGAGCCTAGTCTCCAGCTTCGGATAGGTTGGATGGTTGTAAGTTTGAAGGTATTTTGTGTTTTTTGCTACCTTTAATTCCTAGATCATCCTTATAAAGCCATAAATTAACATTAGAAATCTTATGGGGCCTCCAAACCCAAACCTACCCTGTCAGATGGATGGTCCAACGCCCCGGGATCGATCCATCCAACAACATGAGTTGTCTTTTTCCATCATCAATAGGGGTACCCCAATGTAGACCCAAATCTGTTATCATCATTATGGCAACCGGAAACCCCCTAATTTTCGGACATTCCCATGTAGAGTGGAGTTCACGTCTGGGCCCAAAGCCCAAGACCGCATTTTGGTACGGGGTTCATTGCTTTAGCACATGTCAATGTCGGGTACACTAAGTCGTGCAACTGTCCGGAGCCTGAGAGTGGCTCTGCTGTAAATATTGTCCAGATCTACTATTGAGGCTTAGATAATCACCAGGGTGATGGTTCTAGAGCCTTTGTAGAATTTTGGTAAAGGGTACCTTAAGGCTTCAAGATGATATTGGTAATGTAGGCCCCAGAAGTACCCATGCCCTTGCGCAGAGTTCTACGTGACATTCCCGAGCCGCTGCCGTCACCGCCCAAACGTTCCCAAATGAGAGGATGCTACGTTTTAGGGATAATTCACTTCACCCCATCAGGTAGATCCCAGGAGCCCGCACTTACAAAAGACCTTCTGTGAACCCTGGATTGCCTTAGTATGTCCCCCTTGGAGAGGGAGTCGTCTTGGGGGGGACTGTCCTGTTTGGGGGCCTCTAGGATTTTGGACCTTAGCCTGAAGTCTAAGCAAGTGAGACCGCTACACAGTCTATGTAGGGATATCAACGGCGATGTAGGGTCAATGGCACAGGGTTTCCAAACATTAGCGGTCCCCTTTGCGTTGATTAAAATGGTGCTTATATTTTTTTGGGGGTGCACACCCAGACCCGCGCGCCAACTACCCGCAGCACCCACAGGGACAACATACCCCTATTTAAGGGTGCAAGAAGTGTCCTGCTACGAGGGACCCTCATTCTTAAAAACTACAAAATGTTTCCAAGACTTTGCGGGCTCCGGTAGACGTGCACCAAGAGCTTCTTGAAACAAAGGTTTCAGGGTTTAGGGTTCCGCGTTTCAGGCTTCGGGTTGCAGCAACCCCGCCCCCATGAAGTTCCCTAGCTTAGAGTCTGCTGTGGACTAGAGTTAGAGGAAATCCAAAACCCTTTACTTGGGAAAGGTGCAAAGAATGTACGAGGCTACAGCTCCAGGTCTACAATCAATGCTGCTCTCGGGCCCAAAGTCTACAAGTAGTATCTGCTTTGGGCTTCTTGGATCCCTAAGACCCTAAGACCTATCATCCCTAAACCCTACAACCCTAAAACCCTACAGCCCCAAACCGTAAAACCCGGAACCTTTGTCGCCTGTCGGCTCGGTAGTTTCAAGAGGATCCATCAGTGCATCAACATCGGCATGATCGCCTCCAAGCTTAACATGGAAGCCGAGGAGTCCCGTTTTGGGGTTTAGGAGTTTAGGGTTGGGGCTTTGGGGTGTAGGTTTGGGGTTTAGGGTTGAGGCCTCAGGGTTTAGGTGGAAGGTTATACAGCTCGAAGATTGAAACTGACTGCCCGGCAAAACTTGTGAACATAGCAGAAAGGCTCTTTTGCCCTGAAAACCTAGTGCCAATATCTTTGTCATAACTCCGGTTTCTGTTTGCGAAGCTCCGCGCCCTGCGAGATGTGGGAGCTTCCTTATATCTACCCCTCTACAATCCCTACACGCTAAACCTGAACTCTCAACCCCCACTTCAGGTTCTAGACCTGTCCTACCCCTAACGCTATGGATAGCCCCTAACCCAAAAGCCTAGACAACTGTAATTGATTTCTCCAAACATCTGCCTAAGGTCCCTAGGTGACCCTGGTTTTCACAAACGGGTATTTCGAAACATCGGCCGGTCTGCACTATATGCTTCAAAAGATCACGATAGAACTTTTACAACGAATGGGACGCAGCCTAGATCTTGAGTCTACGGAGGTCCTCTAAAAATCCTACAAGGGCCATGCAAACCTCCTGGTGGCCTGACAGAAAAGCCCTGTGAGGTAGCATTGAAAATTGCTTGGGTAGTTTGAAGCCGAAAGCCTAACCCCTCAACAGGCCAGGGCCCAGATGAAGGTCATGAAGCTACAAATCACAACACCTCATGAAATGACGTATCCCCACATATCCGGGCTCCAACATTTGAAGGGTTTCCTTGCTTTCCAGGAGGCAGAGGTGTGGATTGCCGGGCCCCTAGTGCTGGGGGTTGGGGGAATGGCTTGGGGGTGGGAGTTTAGTGAGTGGCGCATTATAGCTATCTTCGTTCTGTGGGCTGGCCTAAGCTGGCTTTCATCGCGGCTGACCGGAGATCGAGATGGAGAGAAAAACAGAGAGAGAAAGAGAGAGAGAGAGAGAGTTTGGGGTTCAGGATTTGCGGCCGGGAATTCAGTGCTCATTGCCATGACGGGCTACTTACCTCCTCCTTTGGAGAACCGTCGTCTTTGTAGGGCACTTTCTGGGACTCCATGTTAGGTTTGGGGGCGAGAAAAACTCTTAGGCCATATAAGCCCTTGACCCCTATACCCTTTAAAGCCCTAATCCTTAAAGCTTGAGGAGGGCAAAGCCCGAAGTGAAAGTCAGGGTTGGGCTCTGAAGCCAGTGGGGTTCTCAAGAGGCGAAGCCTATGAGGGTCGAAGTATGGAGCCAAGGGTTGCCGAGTGCTTTTCCACGGACCGTGCAATGTTACAGCTTGATGTCCGCCTGTCCGTTTTGGACTTTGCCAGGCTGGAATATGCGGGTTGAAAGAGGCGCTTTAAAAAACTCAAGCTTTACTATGCTATTCCTTAATTGTTACTATCACCGCCCCTGTTGCCAAAACCATTGCTATGAATTATTACTTTCAAGGTGAAGTTGATCCAAAATGCCAAGCTCGATGCCCGGATCGACTCGGAGAAGTGCCGAGTAGTGATGTCCAAAGCGCCTCCTAGCGTCTACCAGCAGGCCACTGTGGGTTCGGGGGATGTACGAAAACTGTATAGGGTTAGTATCCTCACTTTTGAGCGACTGGTGAGCGTTTTTCCCTTTGCTTTTGGCTGTTTTTGGCCTTATAGAATTTTAGAGCTTAGGAATCAAGATTGGGGTATTCTTGGCTTCTTTGCTGTGCAATGTATGGATGTTAAGTCCTTGAGTCAGTAGTTCTGTTGTGTTTGTGCACTGCTCGTCACGCTGGCAAGGACATGATACGTCCACAGAACAGGTGGAAGCTGATGAATTTCTCAAAATTGGGCGGGGGCGGGTCCCTAAATACTTCACCGACATGTAGCATCCTCAGTAAGGTGACTCCCCAAAGGGGCGCAAGAATCGGCCTTCAGACGCAAACCCTATATACAAACCTTCTTAGGGTTTAGGACTTCGGATTCCACAATATGGTAGTTTTCCCAAAATAAGGGGACCCCAATTATAGACCCCCAAATACTATAGTCCTTATTTAAGGGGACCCCTAAAATGGTACCCCCTAATTTTGGGAAACCCCCCATATCTTGAAACCCCAGAGATGCTTTCTCATAGTTCAGGAGAGGTTGGGTGTACTTACGGCTCATCCTAAGTGGAATTTTTGGACGCATGATTGGTATAACTGACCTATCCTGGGTCTTCCAAGATGACTTTGTACGATGATACAGAAGACGTTTATCAATTTGTGGTCAGCACTCAGCGGATGAGAAATACAGCTGCCACGTGAGCTCCTAGAAGTTTGAGCAGGACATGAGATCTGTACAGAATGCGAGTGCTCCAGAATGCATTCGTTCGTTTCCTACAAACCACCGCAAGCCATTCAAGCACGCGCCGCAGGTCATCGAGAAGACGAAAAACCTTTCGTTCAGAAGTACCATGCACTTTGGCTGCAGTTGCTTCATGTTTTGAGGGCTGTAGTACACAGCACAAGAGAAGGAACCTCCCATCACTGGGCAGTAAGAAGGCAATACCCAGTAAAGCGATGCCCGGCGGGCTTTTGAAACTCTGTACCGAAAGACAGTCGAGGGTTGAATGTAGGTTTAGGCTGGGCTTCAAGCTTTGTAGGCCGGATGCATGAAAAGGCACCCGTGTAGCCAAGAGACATGTGGGAAGTGTCGCGCACAAACGAGTTGGGCGGATTCATGGATACCTTGAAGTCAGAAACCGTAACATTTCGGTGTGCGTGGGGCCATCGATATGTTGAACTGCGATTTGGCACACACTCCCGTCGGGACTCAAGCAGGGAAAGCAGAATAGGATCACGGGATAACTTCATCATGTCAAGAGCCTCGGCTACAGCGCGCACTACAGGTTCCAGTGGAGATTACACGTGTGCTGCCCAATATGGAAAACCAACCCCTCTCCCTCGCTTCCTTACAACAGGCTCCTCTCCAACTTGGAGAAGAGGGAGAAGGCCGCATGCACATCACCTCCGCCCGGCTACCCTTACAGTCACCCTTAAGTTGATAGAATATGGCTTTGGGTATGTTATAATAAGATTCCCAAATACCCCCATATTCTATCTACTTAAGGGGGACTCTAGCCCTGAAGCCTAATCCCATGGCTAGAGGTTAGTGGGTATGGCCCAGAGGATAAGGGTTCATAAGCTTGGACGAGACTGCAAGGATGCTGGGTTTAGGGTTTAGGGGTTTAGGGTTTAGGGTTTAGGGATTCAGAATTTGAGGGCATGCAAATGACATAATGAGGAGCCTCGGGATCTAGAGTTGGGTCTGGGCAGTGATGTTCTCCCTGAAACCCCTAAGCTGATGCAAGCAGCTGAGCCTCTGCGAAGTGAAGCCAATGTTCCGGATCCACTTTCGAAGCTTTTGCGGTGAGGAAGAGGCGACAATTCTTCTTTTTGCTTATAAGCCTATAAGGGTCCGTGTGGCAATAGTTGGGTACTTGGGGCTTGGGTACTCATAGTTGTAGTACAGGTTTTGAGTAGAGTCCCCCTTAAGTAGATAGAATATGGCTTTGGGTATATTATAGTAAGATTTCTATTTACCCCATATTCTATCTACTTCAGGGAGACTATAAGTGTATGATGATTGTGTACCTCGACCCTTAGGGTTTGGGTTAACCAAGTGTTGATGATGGGACCCGTTGTGAAGGACATATATAGGGCTCTTAGGGGAATCTACTCTCCTAGCTTAGGGTTTAGGGTTTACGGTTTAGATGTCAACCCTCCCTGTTCAGCCCCTCAACGTCAAACATTCCCCATGGGGCCCCACAAAAACTGGAAAGCCAATTTGAGGTTAGGGGAGGGGCCGTGGTTAATGTTAACCCAGGCCCTTTTTAATAACCCCGTCCCCTTAATAGGGAATATAGTAGGGATCCTAATAGTAAGGCCCTTAAAAGGAGGGGGTTGTTAATCATGGGTCTACACGAGGGCGGAAGTGTTTGCGCTCAGAAGATCTCTTCTCTCATGCAGATGCATCCCAGCCTTACCCTTGGTTAGCTTGGTATGAAGGGACAAGAAAATGGAAACTACCATGATGGGTTCTATAAGGACTACTACAAGGATCCATTCCTTCATTCCTAGTTCACCGAAGGTAAGACGCTGGTGATGGCCTTTCAAGTTTTCTAGCCTCGCAACTCCGCATTTAGTGATTACGTACGACGCATTTGGAGTGACGCTTGTCTGCTTGATAGGTGAGACCTATGTGCAGTATCATTGTCATTAAAAAATGATACCTAGGATGACCCACAAGTACAACTGACTTGTGCCGGTAGATTTGTCTCGTATTCAGGTGAGATCCCTGGATTCAACGCATGTGAAGTCAGCTTAACTACGTTGTTATCCCTTCCAGAGAATCCAAAGGAATCAGCAAGCTATTGTGTGGCTTGTGGGTCCAGGCTTGTGGGAGGGTTCCTTCGCCCTGATGTGCAGGACATGCGGACGACATCCTGAGCGTGAGTGCGCAGAATCGAGAACCAGAGGTCTGTTCGAGACAGCCATCACCAATAAAGATCATCACTGAATCATCACCCTAAATTAAACCCCAACCCGAAACCCTAAACCCCTATCCAGCATAGTTTCAGCATGCAAGCTGGAAAGCAATCCGTTTTGAAGAAAGGCCGCATGCTGCAAGCATCAATGTCAGTTAGTCGATCAGGCGACGGCAGAACAAAATACATGACATCATCCGGCAAAAGCTTGCACCCCAAACCCTAAATAGTACTTTCCATTTTCCTTTCCATTATCCCTACAGTATATAACCCCAATATAACCCCTGTATCCCTGTATAAGCCCATTATAACCCTTATATCCCTTGTTTGATTCCACTATAACCCCTACATCCCTATACGACTCCAACAGAACACCCATGTCCCTAGATAACCCCAACATACCCTCTATATCCCTAATAAAGAACCCCAATATAACCCCTTTATCCCTATATCACCCCAATATGACCCCTGTATCCCTATACAGCCCCAATATGACCCACATATCCCCTTATAACCCCAACAGAAGCCCTACATCCCTATATAACCCCAATATAATACCCTATATAACCTCTATAACCCCAACCCTAACCCTAAAGCCTAAACCCCTAACCCTAAACCCAATATCATCCCTAAACCCTAAACCCTAAACCCCAAACTAATGTAACCCCCAGTGCCGCAAGCCTTGTCCATGAGTTGCTGTGACTGCTTTAAGCCCTCGTGGCGACACGAGGCATTCTTGGGACAATTTCTGTGGGGTTTAGGGTTTAGGGTTTAGACAATTTCTGTGGGGTTTAGGGTTTAGGGTTCAGGGCAGCTGGGACAATTTCTGTGGTCTATTGAAATAATACACAGGGGGTTTCCCAAAATTATGGGTACCTGTTGTTTGGGGGTCCCCACAAGAAGGATTATAGTATTTTGGGGTCGATATTGGGGCCCCCCTATTTTGGGAAATTACCAAACAATTGAGGGGAGCGCGTCCGAATTACCACAGCATTCGCCTCAGCCTATGCCAACGATCTGAAAACTTGCAACCTCGCATCCGGGCGTGCATAAGATTTTCTGTTCCTTCGATTTGCATGCCCCAGGGCAAGAAATATTTATACCATCTGCTGGGGTCGACGAAGACTTGGCAACGGATTCGGTATGGGGATCTTGCGATGTTGCACCAGGAGCGGTAGCCATTTTGGACACTTTGTGTAGCATAAGACCTCGGTAGTACAGTAGCCAAACTTAAAACTTTTGGGTGAAATTAAGTTAAACCGTTTTAGAGAGACAATTTAAACTTTTTGGGGCCTGGGTACTGGACAACTAATCCCTAAACTCTAAACCCAAGAGTGTTACCTTGGGAAAGCCCTGATACACCTAAGCCATGCGGGTCCTCAAGTGGTCGCTGTTGACAAATCCAAATGTCCATGCAGGTAGGGCTATGAGGATAATGGAAAAGAACATTGAAACCATTGTTTCATTCAAACTACTGTTTAGAGTTTAGGGTGTATATGAGCTATAGTCTAAACTCCTTAACGGGAGGTTAGATAGGGGATTATATATGGGACCATTACCGGGGTTATTCAGGGGGATACTAGGAGTTTTAGACTATAGCTCAAATGTCCGTGCAAATTTGCTGACTTTGCTCAAGCCCTATGCGGTTCAGGGTTTTCGATCTAGTCATCGAAGGTCTGGCTGGTGCATGGATGCCCTGCCGCATTCATCTGCATGTGGTGAGTGTCGCGCGCTAGAAAAAACTTTCTGCTCATGTGATAAGCAGCAAGGAAATTGTCCAGCCTTGTGCAGGCTGCCGACAGGTTTTGCCAGAAGCCACGACCCCCGTGGCAAGGTGACCGGCTCGAGCTACAAAACTGCCTTGGGAACGTAGGGCTTGATTTGATGCGAACCTGACATCCCAAAGCCTAGCAGACATAGGGTTTAGGTAGTGGCCTGGGCTTCTTGTGTATGGGCTTACAGGGTTGTGGCAGCGGTTCACCTTGCTAGATTGAGACTCCCCAATGCCGGTCTCAAAGCCACAACGCCTAGTCAAGCAGTCGTGTTCAACAAGAAGAATAGGATCGCCAGTACCCAACGTGCCAGAAGCATTTTCTGCATTCAAAGGACACGGTATATAGTCCCCCCATATAGCCCCCCCCAATTAATCCCTTCTCCATAAGATTAAACGTCCCGGTCCCCTCACCTCCCCTTGTAACATGAAATGATCCGGGGCCCGAAAAATTCTTCTATATTGGGGGAAGTTGTTTATTGCAAGAATTACAGATAGGGATGCCTTAAGTCCTTGAAAACTCCATGGGAAATCAATGATTACTATCTAATCAGTTGAGATGATGATTCCAGGACCCTCCAATTCATTGTTAGGTGTACCCTTGTCAAGTAGTCTTGCCCTTTTAGAGGTCCTCTTCCAGATTTAATATTGGGGGAGTGTTTGTATAATAGTGGCAATTTCATAACGAGATCCCCGCAAGCCCATGTTCTACTTACTCAAAGGGGACTATAGGGTTATACAATTTGAGCAGTCGCCCGGCCATGTGACCACTGACTTCGCGAGTCGCCAGTTGCGCACACTCATCCGGACAAAAATGGCCTAGGGTTTACAGATCCAGGTGGAGGCCCTGGGAAATGGAGGAAAAAGAGGTTGAAGGGTTACCTGGGCCTTCCAAATGCCCCCCCAAAACATAAATAGCCTTTAAGCCCAACATGGTGGGCATGTATGTCTGTATGTATGCATGCATCTATGCATATATGCATGTCATTATTCTAGGTATCGTGGAGGTCCAGGTAGAGCAGGTTTTCGAGACCTGTTTTCCTATTGTTGATGCGAGGAAGGCAGTAGACCCCTGAAAGCTGGCAGAGGCTTGATAGAGAGCACTGGCACCGATAAGTTTTGGGGTATAGTCCCCCCTTAAGTAGATAGAATATGGCTTTGGGTATATTAGAGTAAGATCCCCATATGCACCATAATCTCTCTACTTAAGGGAGACTATATTTCTTAAGAACAGCATGATCGTAGCATGGCGGCAGATGGGATGATTTGCTACTAGAAGGCAGAGCAGACAGAGTGATGCCCAAATGCAAGTTGCAGCCTGTTGCCTGTGGTCTGAGCTGCTTAGATGGGGGGGGAGGGGGTGGACGAATCCGGGGGGGGGGAGAGCCCCTTTGTGGGATGCAATTTTGTCCATATGATGCGTGGTTTTTTATCGGTC